ATTTAGTGTCAACAAGTTTAATGTCCCAAATACTCATTTCAAAACAGGATAAAGATAATACGAGGAGAAAGAATATCTCATATGGACACAAATGACTTATGAGCAGAGTGGTTAGAGGAGATATGTGTGAAGGTTGCAGGTCGTGGGTTTGATCCCCCGTGCGTTGACTTCTGACGGTGCGTGTGCGGCTACCCGGTGGGGTCTCCCTGTTTTTTTTTGTTATTTTTAGGTCTTTAGAGCATCTCTAAGTGTATCCAATATTTTCTTCCTAAAAACATAAAGTTTTACAACTCCTAAAAAAATATTAGATGGAATAAAAAAGGCCATATCTAAGAGTTTCTAATAATCCACTCCTAAAATATAGAAGATAAATTTACGTCAAGAATCCTATACTATTTCTAAATTATCCTAACCACTTTTATATATTCTTTCTTTCTTGTACATTTGGATCAGGAAACATTTCCAACTCTTTATTCTTTTCACGCCCTTTTACCTTTAGATTGGCCGACAAACACGCATAGTTGAGATAAGATACGCGCGACTCGAAAGCACGTAACTTTATGCGGAACAAGGTGACTTTTTCCAAGTTCTAAAAGATTAGGAGAATATCTTAGGAGTGGTTGGAGAGGGGGTTGTTTCTCATCTTGCTAAAACCAAGGATTAGGAAGGAATTTAAGGAACTCTTGGAGATGCTCTTAGGATTTCTGGAACCATTGATCAACTCGTCGATTTGTAGAGACGGAAAAATAGAGGCTTCCTAGCCGCCTCTACAAATACTCCTAGCAGTAGTGATTTCTATGATCATTTAGGGCATGTTTGATTCATGTCCCCAAGCATCAATCTGCACCCTAGGTGATTGAAATCGGATGCCTTGGCGTGGGAGGCATTCTTGCTTCGTGTTAAAGCAAACAACTCCTTACTCTCTCTTGAGACAGTATGAGAGTTAGAACAATGTATTTAGACACGTGCGAAGTTCGATCCTAAGACAAATAGAAACGCTTTAGTTAGAGTATCATGCATCTAGGCATGATTTAAAGTTGAACTCTTGGAAGAATTGGAACATATGACGTGATAGTAGGAAAAGTGTTGAATCAGATCCAAAGATAAATTAGAATGTATGACATGATCAATAGATAAATCTCCAAGCCTTATATGTCCACACAAGTTAGAGCAACACATGTCTAGGCACTGTACAGAGTCGGATTCTAAGAGGAATTGAAACGTATGTCACACAATTGTTGTATCGAGCCACAAGTCATACAGGTGACCATGCAACAAGCTATAGATCTCGTTGTAACGCACAATCATGTTTGCTAGTCTATATCTATATCTATATATATACCTAATAATAAAGAGATAAAACTTCAGGCTATTTTTTGGTCCATTTCCGTCTATCCATTTCCGTCTAACTATCGAACAATGAAGAGTTTTTTTTCCGTCCAGACTTATATTTTCTTCCATCCGGACTTACATATATAATTCGTGCTCATACGAGTTAGAATAACTCTCGTCTAACGCGATACGGAATTCGATTCCAAAACATATTGGGTCATGTATTGACCTGGACTTATAAGTCGTGCTATATTTATTGGTTTCTATTCTATATAGGAAAAATAGCAGAAGTTAGAACGAAGAGTATTGGAAGATTGAACAAAAAACAGAACATGAAACAAACGGGAAAAAATGAAAAGATACACAACGTGGAGAAAAAGAGAAAGAACAAAAAAAGGAAAACAGAAACTGAAAAAAAAAAAAGAAAAGATACACAAAGTGGAGAAAAAAAAAAAAAAAAAAAAAAAAAGGAAAAAAGAACGCAAGAAAAAGACAACGTAAAAAAAATAGGAAAACAGAAACAGAAAAACGGAAAAAGAACGAAAACGCTCGGCTCATCCTTGGAGAACGCAATGCAGGGCGGGTCGCGACCAGCCCGTCCCCAATGCCTCTGTCCTCCGTCGCGTTTCCTTTTTTTTTTCCTTCGTCTGTTCTGTTTCCTTTTTTTCCTTGTTGGTGTTTCCTTCTATTCCGTTTTATTTTCTTCATTGGTTGAGTGTTTCCTTTTTCATCCTCCGCGTGGTTTCTCTAGCTTTATCCTTTTCTGTTTAGATTTGGATTAGGATCTCTATTCAATTTACTCGGGATATCTATTTTATTTGAATTAGAATACAATTCCTAATTATACTTGTGTCCAATATGTCATATAAAACAGAAGGCGTTATATAAAACAGGAGAGTTGTAGAGACAAGTAGAGACACATACCTACATTCTAAGGAGTTGTAGTTAGGAGGAGGTGGACCAAAAAAATAGGCTAAAATAAAATTAGGATCATTTCTATTCTTATACTCCCTCCGGTTCTCTAAAGCAAGTTGTTTTGGATATCGACACGGTTTTTAAGAAACGACTTTGACTGCAACTTTTTGCTATAAAATATTTATAAAATATAGTCAATATATACTTTTATGAAACTATATTTCGAGATGAATCTACTTATATCACTTTTATATTTTCAAACTCAACCCAAAAGAAGTTATTTATAGTCAAAGTTTAAAATGTTTAACTTAAGACAACCTCAAAACGACTTGTTTTAGAGAACCGAAGGGAGTATCCTTTTCTATTCGGATTTGAATTTGGATTAGGATCCATATCGATATAGATATTGATTAAAGTTATGATATATTATGAGTAAATATTTTTGTGCTTTACAATTGAAAAAAAAAAAAGGTTGTACTCTCTCTATTCTAAATTGTAAATTGTTCTGACTTTCTAATATATATATATATATATATTACTATGTATTTAGACATAATGTATACGTAGAAGTGTAGTAAAAGCTATATATCTAAAAAAAAAGTCCGAATAACTTGCGATTTGGGACAATGAGAGTATTTAAATTCGTTACAGACTTAATAGGATATTGTCATATTATTAGCGATATTAACTTTATTATGGATGTCATGATCATCATAAATAAATTATAGCCATTAAAATTTATGAAAAAGTAAAACATAAATAGACATTTAACATTTTTGTCCTTATTTTCTATTAATGTCTGATATTTTTTTTCCTTCCGTTGCAACGCACGGGTATATTTGCTAGTTAATATTAAAAGAAAAAAAATTCTCCAAATTTTTGTCCTTCACCCTCGCCACAATCCATCTGTCCCTCCACTTCCCTGAGCATAAACCTCAGTTTTAATGCTTTACCAAGAATAGTAGTAGTACATGATCAATTATAGGTAACAATGCTTATTGCTAGCTTTATATTGTTCATTCCATGAGCCGAACTCACTACCGGTGTTGGTACAAGTTAGAATAGTACACATCTAGCCATGGACCCATGGTACACGATTCTAAAATATATTACAAAAGATGACATAAATTATGGAGCGTTAAGTTGCAAAACATGGACATGTTTGCGAGTTTCTAAAATAAGACCAGACTCATCGCAGACACGGTTAGACTAGACCTATATACCGGACCGGCCATTAGATTTTTATAAACCGGTTGTGTCGTCAGCAGTGACAAATTAGAAATTGGCCAGAATTTGCGCTACTGTACTCTTGACCCAGTATAACCGTGTTCGTATGTACCAGAGAAATTACATTACCCAGCCTTCAAGGAAGGCTATATATATATTGGCGTGTGAACGAAATGGACCATTTTGTAACTCATCGTCTTTAAGGCATATTAAAGATTTCGTGTTGAAGGAAATCCTATATACTAATATAGAGTACGAGGCAAGCCCATAATGCGCATTGAAACAGATGAACTATTGTCGTTGAAACAGATCCAATCCAGAACTATTGTCGTCGTTCTCTTTCATTCCAGAAAATTCCAGATTAAGGTCCGTTTCGTTCCCCACGTAGACAGAACGGGATGTTCCAGGCTTTCATTCCGGTCGACGGTATATTTTAATTATCCGGTGAAAAAACAGTCGGAATCCACCCGAATGTGCCAATCCGAAGAAAACGTACAACCGAACGAACGCTGTTCCAGGCCTAACGGTATAGAAATTAGTGAAAAACAGTTCAATCCCGTAATTTTAAGTAATTTCAAAAGTTCATCCTAATTTAAGGACATGTAGGAGTGTGACACTTGACCAAAATAAAGGCACGGTTTTATCGACAGAGGTGTAACGATCCGGTTCCAAATCCTTCGGATTTGTTCAAATTTAATCTATATATCTGTTACACCTAAAAAATATGAAACGCTTTCGTCAAAGAAGGTTTCGTGCGTGCCTCAGTGCAAATACGAATCTGATTAGACGTCAGGGACAGGCGATTTCACGCGGCGTGCCTCAGTGCGGTCTCACGGAAGTACAGAATCACGAAACGTCTACTGTGTTTCATTATTGGGCCAGGCTATGATTAGCAATTAAGGACTGTAAGTAGTCTCGATCGTTTGATTTTGGGCCTAGAGCAACGTCTCCAAGGCCGGCACTAATAAAATAAAAATAATAGAAAATACCTGAATAAATTTGAAAATAAGTTATGATTCCCATGCAAAATTATTTAATAGCCTTTTATTATTTTTTAAAGTTATGAAATCAGTTTATAAACTTATAAAATCAATAATAAATCAACAAGTATTGTGTTTCTATAAATTTGATCTACACGATATAGATGATGATAAATATCATGAAATGAGCTTTATATTTTCTATGTAATTAGATTTGTTGATTTCTTAAAATGTACTTCTAATCCACAAACCACCCTGATGCAGGCATAGACAAAAATTCATGGCCCCTGTGCAACGCACGGGCATATCTATATCTGGTCTACGTACAAATACAAATACTACCCAACAATTTATCCGGTACCAGACTACCAGTCGCCTGGTCGTCCAAACACTACCGTACCTGATGAACAGAACTGCTCTACCGTACCTGTTGTGGCCATCGATCGATCAGGAGGAATTCAGGATTGAGGAAGCATGCATGCGTTAAGTTGCCGGCCGGCATCGTCGGCATATGCTGCATGCATAAACGTAAACACCTCAGATCGATCAGCTGAGGTTCTCCACGACACGCCCAAGCGCATCCACGTAGCTCTCCACAAGCTTGGTGACCACGGTCACCGCCGCATCCACCGCGCCCTCCAGCGCCACCGCGAGGGTCTTGGCGGCCTCCTCGCTGCCGTCCCGCGCCGCCTCTACGAGCTCGGCCACCGCGGTGGCCGCGAGGTCCGCGGCGCCCGTGGCGACGCTCCACAGGAAGTCCAGCAGCGCCGAGACGACGGCCACGGCCACGTCCCAGGCCACGCCGAGGACGAGCTCCACGGCCGCGTCGACCGCGCCCTTGGTCGCCTCCAGCACCGCGTTGCCCGCCTGGCCGGGAAGCCTGAGCAGCTGCACGGCGGCCACGGCCAGGAGGGCGAGGCCGCGGAGGAGCAGCATGGTGACGAGCTCCGCGGACGAGCATAGGAGACATAGCGCCAGGTTTACTAGCGCACCAAGTGCTGCCATGGTACGTAACAAGCTATTTACTACTTATATATGCTAATAATGCCTAGCTAATACTACAAGTTATGGTTTGGTTTGGTGATCATATACAGACATATATATATTCATTCATATATGCATGGGTGGAGAGAGAGAGAGAGAGAGAGAGAGAGAGAGAGAGAGAGAGAGATTGGTGCCGTGTTGCTTGGAGTGCAAGGAGGGAGATCTAGGTACTAGTCGAGGGTTGTTGCTTGTGAGGTTTTCCATGGTAGCTTCTGTGGGTTGAACACAAGTGGTACGCAAGTCGTTGCTTCTAAGGTTTACTTTGATTATGCATGCATCCATGGGTCGTAGTTGCTTATTAATTATGTGCACAGTTTAATTAGCTTTTTTCCCCAAACTATTTGCATATAAAACCGAGCGCTGACGCATGCGGAGGAAGACATCCTTTGACATTTTGTAGGGAACTAGGTACATAATAAGTCAGTTTGAGAGCAAGGTCAAAGTTAAAAGATGACGAGTGCGGTTTGAATATAATGGAATGAGGATATCCATGGACAGCAACCGGAACCGGAAGACAGAAAATTCAATCCACTATTTCTTTCTTATATACAAAGGTTGGGGTTACGTTTTGTTGGACCTGGAAAAAGAAACTAAGACAACAATAAAATAACTATTATGGTTATCTCTCAAATAAAACAATAACGCTTTAGTGATTTGTAAAAAACTTGTCTTGGGTTATTTCTCGATGCAACCTCTCAAAAAAAAGTTCTTGATGCAAAATCTGAAGTGTATAGAAAATAGCACCTAACAAGGGTTATATGTGATTTTTGTGGTTGATTGACAACACGATCAAATAGAATAATGTGGTTTATTATTATACAAGGTTTGTAGTTCATTTGGATGCAAAGATGGCTCGGACAAATTATACTGAGGCTCACCAACTGCCCCTACAGTTCTCTAGTGCTCTGCTGTAGTATTTAAAGGCATCGTGAGGATCATGTGATCAACACCTCAAGGAAGATCAATGGACACTATTGAAGATCTTAGAAGACCTGCATGAAGTCAAAGACGTGAAGAATGGAGCTCAGTGCAGGCTGATTGCACGCACCGGAACCCTCCGATGTGACCAAGAGAAGAGCACTGAAAGAGAACATGCAGACCAAGTATGAGATAGCTGCGGTTGATTGTGCACCAAAAACCTCTAGTGGCACCAAAGATTAACTCCAGAGAGGTTCAGCACAACAAAGGTGGAGGCGATGAAGGCACCGGAACTCTCTAGTGCATAGCACCGTGATGCAGAGGGCTTTTCTGATCTTTTCATCATAGGATCGAGGGGGATAACCTGACCCATGCAACCTGACGAACCGATGGCACCAACAACTACTCTAGACAGCCACCCGTGACAAATGATTTCACCCAACCGCATATAATGGACCAATGTCTATCTAAACTACACAAAGGTAAAGACAAGCTCTTGCAAATCATCACAAGGATACACAAGAACAAGTGGAAGAGAAAACTTTCAATCCTCAAAGGGGCAACTATGGCACAACACTAAGGATAAGAGCACTTAGCTTCTTTTTTTTTCTGAGTTCAATTCGTGGTTAGGATTTTAGGGAGGAGTGGGGGTGCTATTTATACTAGGAACATTCCTCGTAGCCAAGCTAAATGGGTTGGTTTTGGCCTAGGTTCACTAAAACAGGCATACCTCAGCCTACACAGCTCCAATGGATGTGCCGTCAGTTGCATATGCAAGTATACTTCACCATTTTCCATCCATATATAACAGTTGGGTTGGAACCACCAAGAATTGTATAGAATTCACCATGAATTTGGAAGTCAGAATCTGAACAGCAACACGTCATCCTCAACTTGCTTTCTTTGAATGCTGAGTGGCCTATCCGTCCATGGCATATTCTCCAAACCCGAGGACAAGCATTGCACCTCTATTAGGTAGTAAATCATTCTTAGTATATGCATGCTCATGAATAAGGAGTGAATTCACCTAATGTTGTAGTCGCTTCATTCTCGCTTGAGTCATTGGCCCCTTGTAGACATTGTTGGCTTGTTCAGCACATGGTTGTGTAGTGCAACGAGAGTCATGATCGTCTTCAACATTGGTTAGTGGACTATCATGAGGGATGTCCTCATCATCCTACTATTTTTGAGGAGTAGACCTCGACTTTGATCCCTTCGGGCCAAAGAAAGAAGACAAATCAACATTGCTCGTAGCATAATCATTTCCTAGAAGTTCTATCTCATATGCATTGTAATTTCTAGTCTTATGACCCATAACAAGTTACCTTTACTAGAAGTTAGTTAACTGAAAATTCCACGCAAATGACCCATCTTATTTTACTTGTGGGACATGGGACGTAGAAAAGAAATGAGTTTGAGTAGGTTAGCTTACTCTCTCCTACACAGTGTTTTAAAAGTTGCTGCTACAACACCGTTGTACTAAATAATGGGCTATTGTGGTGCTATAATGGTTGAGCAGGCCTCTCTACTAAATACTATACACTACTACATATTGATTTATCACTGTTGCCACTTTCATTGCCGTAGCGATAGAAACGACGGTGTGATACTTCCACCATCGGTTAGAACGATAGCGAGGCCTCCTGGGAATGAAGCCGGTAGTTCAGACTTCTACCACTGACGGGTTAACGATAGATACGGTGGTGGTATTGGGGTTGCATTTGCTCCGTCGCATGAAAAGCCGGGCCAACTGGGATACACATTTTGGCCGACGGCCCTAAACTAGCGTTTGGTCAAGCGGTGGTAAATTCAGCGTGAGTGTTGACTTGCCTCAACTTCCAAGTCTATCAAATCACCATTACTTCTGCCGCCTGAAGCCTAAGAGCCGTACCCACTGCTCTACATATAATTCAAGCCCGGTGCCCTCTGAAACCACCCCTCTTCTTCATACATCATCCCCTTCTCTTCCAATCTTCAAAGAAAATGTTGGACAGCCCCATCACGTTTCCAAGCAGCCCGTCGTCCAGCGAGGATGACTTGCTTGCCCACCACTCTTCCGAGGAGGACATCTCCTCTGATGAGTGGATGTCATCCGATTATAGTCCCCTATGGAGCTCCAAGAAGGAGGACCCGGAGAGGAGGAGGATGAGGACGACGCCAACGCCGACGCCGACTCTGACTCCAACTTCGCATCGCCTCTTCCCAAGTGAGCGTGGCATATATTTAGATTAAGTAGTTTATAGTTAGTATAAGTAGTTTTAATAGTTTAGGTTAGTTATTATGCTTTCGGACAAGTTACAATCATATACTTGTCCAAATTGTATCTCTTCAATCCCACCTTTTTTATATAAAATGCAAAGCAAGTTCTTTCCAATACTACCTCCAAAATGCAGTGCACGGATTTGATGTCTCGACCAATGTTTTTTGTTTTTCTGTATATTTGTGAATGAAAAGGAAAAAAACTATCATGTATGGTTGCAGTTGTTTTTAGGAGAATCTAAAAGTAGTTTAACTGCTGACAATCATTGTATTATAGCATTGGATTAGCGTGGCAATGGTCGGCTTAATATGGACACTGTTTAACTTATCCTCGTGCCATCTGTTCTCACTGCCGATCACTCTAGATAGTCCATTTGGCAACAAACCTAGAAGCGCCCGGCCCATTTCCAACTCCCCTCGGGTCCTGTCGGTGACTTGGCGGTGGTTTGACCAACTAAAAAACCATACTACGAATCTATTAGTTCTCCCACCCGTTATTGCTTCATTCTCATTCTCCCCACCCGTTGTTTCATCTTCATTTTGACCCGTCTCCTGTACTTGCCCTACCTTGAGCACCTTGCATTGTCATCATGGACAACGCCCCATGAAGGTTAGATGGATTCAGTCACCCCCCTGTTTGCATTTGGTTCCAATTGGTTTTGGGTTCGGTATCAATTTTGTTTATATTAGGAATTTCTTCAATGCAACAGATGTCTTACTTCGGAAGAAGCCATTTCAATGAGAGCAACCTTGCGTTTTGGTGGCTAGGGGTGGCACCAGGACCCTAGATGATGTTGTTTGCTACTTGGGGATGGAGCATTCACCTGGACCGACTGTTGATTATTGAAGCCGCTGTTCGTCACCTTCTCGGACCACAAAATTTGACAAGAATCGTTTGAGACCCTGTTGGTGGAGAGACTTTTATGCTTTGCAAGACTAGACAGGAAGTAGACATACTTTATAGATACAATGTGTTCGTGGACGGAGATGCTATCATCTTCGCTATGGTTCACTACCTCTGGCTTTTGGGACCGCCTCAACCAATTGAGTACCTTAGCAACTGCCTACCCATCTGACATTAAGTCTTAGAATTTATGAAACTTTTATGTTAATGAAGTTTATATGTACTGATGAAACCTTTGGATTAGTATGTATGAGTATTGCATAATCGTTGAACTATTACTTCGGTTGAACTGTTAATTGAATCAGTTGGTCTTGATTGTGGTCCACGTGTACACCTCTATGTAAGCACAGAGGATCCAAAATAGGCCTTCTTCTACTGGCGGATAGTACCCTGAACCGCTGGTGACATCGCATTTCATCTTGGTGGGAGAACGAGGGTTTTTGAGGCTATTTTGGCGCCATGGCGGGAGGCAAAAGTGTAGAAAAAAGACCTAGGCCGACCTCTTCACTTAGAGTGTGCAACACTTTGAACCCTAACTATTTCATGGCTGCATCTAGCTCCAACTCCTCCCAGTGGTCAGCACCATCCCAAGGCGCCGTCGCAAGAAGAACACTGGCTTCTAGAGGAGGAGGCTACAATGGGAGGGGGCCACCCATCCCGTGTCGTGTTGAGAACCACCCCAACGCATACCAGCCACCACTTTTGTGTCATTGTGGCTTGAAGATGCCTCGTTGGATTTTGTGGAGTGATGGAAACCCAGGACGTCGGTACCACAGATGCTGCAGGGCAAATAATGTAACTCGATTTCTTT